GAAATTTTCCGTCTTATCGAAACAAAAATTTTGTGCAAATATGCACATCTGAATATAATCAGTTTTAATGAGAATAAATACAGTGACATGTTTGTTACTGGTCCAAAGTTGTTTTTCACTTCGTACAAGAAACAAACTCAAAAGAAAGAGCATGTATCTCAATTTAAACATTCTCATTGTTAACACGTTTTTAAAAAATATTTTCAAAACTGTCGTGAATTTTTGAAAATTTTAAATTTAGGAAAAAAATTGAAGAACTTTTCAAACTCTTAAAAATGTTGAAGAATTTTGAAATTTATATGTACAATTCTGAGCGATATTAAAATTTCAAAAACATTATGAGATATATCGAAAATCTGATAAATTTACTACAATTTAAAATTTTGAAAGTTTCTTAAATTTTCAAATGTTGAAAACTTTGAGAATTTTTAAATTGTTGCACTAGTTGATTAGCTTTATGCAACATAGTTATGTTAGGTTGGGCACGGCTAGGTTACGTTAGGTTAGTTATTTTAATTTAGGTTAAGTGAAGTTTTTTTTAAAATTCAGAAAATATTAAAATTAGGAAGAGTTTTGAAGATTTTTAAACACTTTAAAATTCTTAAGATTTTGAAAAGTACTTAAATTTGTTAATAAAATTTAAATTTCGAACAGTTTTAAAACTTTTTGAAGTTTCTTTATTGAAGGTTTTTAAAGTTTGAATTTTTTAAAAAAAAATATCAAAAACACTGAGGATTTTAGGACTGGGTCAGATTCGTTTTCCGTAGCTTTGCGCATCGGAGCATTTCCCATCGCAGCGTTGCACCTGCGAGCTATGCACAACGCAGTACTCCGATCCGAAGCGCTGCACACATCAGCCTTGCGCAGATTACAGTTGCGCATCTGAGATTTGCGCAGCTCATGTTAGGTTAGGACAGGTTATGTTAAGTGAGGTTTTTAAAAATTTGTAAAATAGTTGACAGTTTTCTAAAAGTTGTAATTTCTAAAATTTCTAAAATTTTAAATTAGTTTTGAAATTTTTCAGAAATACAAGAGCGTTTAAATTTATTTTAATCGTTTCAAAACTGTTGAAAATTTTTAAATTTTTTTTTATAAAAACTTGGAATTCTTGAGGTCTTTGTAATTGGGCTAGATTAGGTTAGCATTTTGGGTCGAAACTTTTCACCACCGAGCCCTGCGTGTAGCATTCGACCCATCTCGCATCATAAACCCGACCCACCACAACATAACCATAACAAACCAAATAAATCCACTAGCATTTGATCAGCGCATATTCGCCTGAACATTTTCTCCACAAACATATCATAGCCTAACCTAACCCAACCCAACACAAAATTCGACAGCTACCCCTTAGCAGCTGTCCATTGCGCATGCTCGCCTGCGCATGGTCGTCTGCTCATGCGCGTCTCTAACCTAACATAACCTAACCTAACCCAACGTGGATCTCTATCACTGTTCCTATACATTTCAATGACGTATCCACAGATTCTGCCAGTCGCTCTCAACCGCCTCTGGACATCGTGATTATTTATCATCGCCTGATTTATCGAGTATTTATAGGAAGTGGGGTCGTAGGTCGGGAGTTTTGTTGACCGTAATCACTACATGCCCGCGTGACGGACGCGTGGAGTCCCATAGCCGTCACACGATTGACGAATGCCGTCGAGAGTTTCAGTGGGAGAAGCCGACAGGCTCGCCAGGACAGTAGTGATAAGCTTTCGAATGAAATATCACCCTGGCAGTCGATTATAGCTTTGTTTTTGCGAAGATCCTCGTTTTATCTCGACTGTGATAATTATATGATTAATGTGTCGTTCGTGGCGCACGTACGCAAAATTTAAACTCTGATATGTGTGTGTTCTTCGATGTTTCCAAGAATTGAGTACGTGAACTTTTCCAAGTAACTAGCCAGGCTTTAGATCTGAAGGTAAGTTTGGAAGAATCGTGGAGGTACGTTTAAAACTGCTCCGCGCATGCGCACTGTGACGTCACGTAACAGCTCAGTGCAAAGATGGATTAACGTAACCTAACATTACAACAACAACAAAAATTTTGGTGTTAAAATCGAACGAGAGCAAATGTTACATAAGAAACGTTCACATAAACGAAAATTCCATACAAAATTTTGGTGTGGAAGTCATCGAATGTGACTCGCCAGTCTACTGCGATTCGTTAAATGTAATTATCCTTATCGAAACGCCACTGATCACTCGGATGATCTTACGATCTCGTTCGCTCGGTCGCCATCTTGGTATTGCGAAATTGCAGGTCGAGGTGATCACACCGAGTCTTTCGTAAACTGGATCGTATCTGATCTGGTAAAAGATGATTCCGAGGAATGTTTCATCATATTTCAATAGAATTTTTACGAATATTTAAAGTGATCGATTTGTTCAACTCTGACACTTCGAAGAAGCATTTAAAAAAAACTGAATTTGTTTTTTTCAAATCTAAAAGTTCGTGACGATGGTGAGTTATTTAAATAAAAGGTTCTTTGGATATTTTCCATCGTCTGGTAAAATACTTTGTCCGGAGTTAGGGATTAGCTCTATCTGTTGGGCCCAACAGAGTAGCTACCTGAAGACGGAGATAGAGCCCCATCTCCGAAACGTCGTTCTATTTTATTATTTTACTAGACGATAGAAAATATCCAAAGAACTTTTTATTTGAATTTCTTTTATTAATTTAAGTCAGCACGACATATATATTTTATTCCCAGCTTCTGGTGTTCTTAGGAGTACAGAAAATACATAATTTATTTATTTATTTATTGAAAGTTTATTTAACGAACTTGCTTTAAGTAGCTCGGATTATGTAGAGTCGAATTAGAGGACGATAATGAGTAATTAATTGGGAAATATGTGGAAGGAAGTGGCCGTGGCCTAATTTTAGGCACAATCCCGGCATTTGCCTGGAGCAACTGAGGAAAACCTCGAAATATTCCAGCGAGGATAGCTGATCTCCGGGCAGAGATTGAACCCTAGACCTCCCGAAGACGAAGGAGGAGGAGTAATTGTGAAGTGGGCCACGACGATAATTGACAATTGAGACCTGGACTCGAATTCTAATCCAAAATGGGGGCACAACAAAACGTCGTTTTGCAGCGCGACACGAGTCATTCGGGCTCCGGTGACATCTTTTCCGGAAGGAGACACATCAGAGCGCGAGACGTGCATTCGCTGAGATAACGACAGCTGATAAGTGTTCGGCAGATCGCTCGCCCCCCCCGGCCAACGTCTTCCTTGATCTTGTTTCAGAACGTGAAATAAACTGTGATCTGTGTTGATCGATGTCGAGAAGTTTTGGGAGTTTGTAAAATTCGCGTGGTGCCTGAACATTTGTTCGCGAGAAACTTTCTGATGTGTGGTTGCGAACAAAATACCTGGAGAAACTAACTAACTAACCAGATGGCTTACCGAACCCGAAGGTTCATCACCGAATTAACCAAAGCCCTCCACCGGTCCCTGTCCTGGGCCAACAAAATCCAGTCTCCTTCAACTCCTATCTCCCATAGATCCCGCCTCAGATTATCCTCCCATCTACGTCTAGGTCTCCCCAGAGGTCTCTTCCCCTCAGGTGCACACCTCTTGTCCCATCCATGCGCGCTACATGCCCAGCCCATCCCATTCTCCTCGACTTAATCACTCTGACAATACTGGGGGAGAAGTACAGATTCTTAAAACAGGGTAATAAAACAGGAAGATTCTGAAAGAATTTGTTGGAATAGTCAAGAAGTGTCCATAAAATAATAATGTAATAGATTCTTCCACACAATTTTTTGTAGGTTTTATTCATTCGTTGATTATGTGGACGAATTATATTGTTATATGATTTACCAATTCCACGGTGGTCTAGCGGTTAGAACGCTGGCCTTGTAATCCTGGGGTCTCGGGTTCGAATTTATAACTTGTGTTGGGCAAGGCCGTGGTCTAGGCAACACGGAGTTTTCCTCCGTGGCATCCCAACAATTACTCCATTCACACACAGAAGAAGGCAATGGCAAACCACTTCTGGATCATCTGCCAAGAACGTATATGAACAGGTCCCAGTCCGAGAAAAGGATGGAAGGATCCTGTTCATATGGACCTGTCGTCAGACAGAACACTAAATAATAATAATAATGATTTACCATCACAGAATCTCGGCCCTGAAATCAGTTGCGCTGACAAAGGCTTTGTACGGTTTTTGTCAGTCGCTCCAGGCAAGTTACAGGAAAACAACCTTAAACTAGGCCACGACCGCTTCCTTCAATACATTTTAATAAATGGAACAGACGCGAAGACGGCTTCCAGTTTTGTGACTGGTTCCAAAAACGACCGCAAGAGGCGTGTTCCGAAACGTTGAGATAAATCTTGGGTTAGGGGAGTGAATTGGATTCATCTGGCACAGGATATGGACTAGTGGCCAGCTGTTGTGAAGACGGCGGGTTTATAAAATGTTGGGAAAGTCTTGACTAGATGAGCGGCTGTCCGCTTGGAAATGGCATTGGTCGATCGTCACGTGTTTATCAGCCGCGTTGCCAGCGCCTCTAGACGGATTGATGTGTTATTCTGCAGTTTCGAATTATAACCTTGACAATATTTTAAGTTCTCACGGAGACGAGTATCAGGATGATGTGTGACGCCGTGGACAATTTCCGACGTTTCAGAGATGCTTACTGGCTCCATCGTCAGGTCCGCTGCTTTATTTTGTATATGTGTGTGTCCCATGTGTAAGCAACGCATGGAGCCAGTACAGGCATGCCTCGGAGTTATTGCAGACCACCGCAATAAAACGAGTCACACGAATTGTTTGGTTTCCCAGTGCATATAAAAGTTATATTTACACTATAATGTAGTCTATTAAGTGTGGAATAGCATTATGTCTAAAAAAAACAATGCGAGAATTACCAAAATGTGACACAGAGACAGGAAGTGAGCACAGGTTGTTGGCAAAATGGCGCCGATAGACGCAGGGTTACCACAACCCTTCGATTTGTAAAAAAAAAAAAAAAAAAAAATCTGCGAAGCGCAATGCAACGAGGTATGCCTGTAATTGTACAAGTGCATGATTATTATGTAGAGTCTATTCTTATCACGGTTTTATCGGCGTTGAGAATGATAATGATGATAATCTCGTCCGTAGAGTCCAAAGTTTCTGAGAACCGTCATCTTCAGATAATTTTAGCCCTGAAGACGTAGTCATTATGGTTCTGCGAGATTTAATTTTCTAGCTACTGCATTCTGGGATTTGTCTCTTAGAAACCGACCGATAATCGTCCTGACGATGGAAACAATAACGAATGACGGAAATTCTCTCCTTCTCCTTGTCTCCAGCTGCTGTTACCACCCCCACATTATTCTGTTGCCCCCAAAGGAGGGGAGGGATGACGATGTTCAACCCACCAATCGCCAGCTACTGACACGTTGAGGGGCGGTCAGGGTTGGCGGAGAGGGGGCATCTAATTTGTGTCAGTCAGGTAGAAGCAGGCGCAGTTGAGGTGTGGAATTGTTGAAGATGGCCGGTTCGCATGATGGCGCTTACGAAACGGACGTGAATACGAGGTTGCTAGCCCTGACGAAGAAGACGGGCTACGACCTTTTGCAGACGAACGGGCAGAGAAGATATGGACCGCCCCCGCACTGGAAAGGCACGCCGCCCCCAAAGGGCAGCGAGGTTTTTGTCGGGAAACTACCGAGGGATATGTTTGAAGACGAGTTGGTTCCCGTTTTCGAAAAAGTTGGGGTCATCTATGAACTGCGTCTCATGATGGATTTCTCAGGGTCCAATAGAGGCTTTGGATTTGTCCAATTCACGAATCCACACGAAGCTCAAACAGCCGTTAAGGAGCTCAACAACTACGAAGTGCGACCGAAGAGATTCATCGGCGTTGTGAAGTCCGTGGACAATTGCCGTCTGTTTGTCGGGGGCTTGCCCAAGAACAAGACCAAGCAGGAGATAGCGAACGAACTGAGGAAGTTTGTGGACGGAATCACCGATGTGATCTTGTACAGTAGTGTTGTGGACAAGAACAAGAATCGTGGATTCGCGTTTGTGGAATTTCATAATCACCGATCGGCGGCCATGGCGAGAAGAAAGTTGATCCCAGGTCGAGTGCAGTTGTGGGGTTACGAAATACAGATCGACTGGGCCATACCCGAACGCGATGTAGACGAAGACACGATGGCCAAGGTAAATTTTTTGTCTAATTTCTCCGTCATTCGTAACGTCAACCCTTAACCATTTGGGATTTTTCTACGACTGAACACGTAAGGGGGGGAAGGTCGTATATTACCGGGCACCTAAGGATTTCGGGGCGGGGGGCGGCGGGGGGGGAGACCATCTTCAGGTGTAAAATTATATCAACAAACTTAAAACTCAATTACAATTTCTGTTGTGTAGTTTTTTGGAGATGTTCATATCCAGATTATTTTCGTATATTGGAGCGAAATGTATTGTTTTGAAGTGAAATGCTTTTGATGTTTTACATCGGCCTGCAAAGCAAATGATTCAAAGAAACACTAATGAATACGAAAGAACATAGAAAACAAAATGAAATAATAATTATATAATTGTAAAGTAAAATTAAAGATACCAGAGATGAGATTGTTAAATTAAAAAAAATTCTTATTAATTTTCACAAATTTGAACTTTTCTCTTCATGAAACATGTATTTTGAATAAAACAAACTTTCAAAAAAAAAGTGAAATAAAACGTGTTTAAAAAAATTGTTTTTAAATTTTCAACATTACCAAAAAATTTGCGTCTAATATCGGACACTGCTTTAATTATAATGTTCTTTTTCTTATTTTTGATATAAACTTTCAGTCTTTATGAATCTTAACGTCTTTTGCAAGGAATCACATTTGTAATATGACATATTTCCCTCTGTATCGGCTCAGTTTTGTATCCAGTCGTTGTCAAAAATTTCTGAACTCACGCTAATGTAGGACTTTTATTTGGCTGACTAATTCTTCCTCCAACTCATCAGTGAAGTTTCTCCGAAACCAACCAACCAGTGTTCTCTTACCTTACCGACATCTCCTTATTCCTAACCTTATCTATAGCAAGTCTCGTTTGATCATCTGTCCTTTGTCCTCGTTTCTCTCCAATAGTAAAGATAACAGAGTTTATACAATCATCAGTGGTAAAAACAGATTCAAAATAAAATTTTATTTATTCTTAAATAATATTTTTTCGAGAATTATTCTTTGTCCGGTACAACCATAAACCACACTCTCCGATATTAGACGACAGACACGTAAAGATAAAATGGCTGCTGTATATCCAGTGCTTACCGCTGGAACAAAATCATTTCTACACAACAAAAGTAAAATAGATTAAATAATTATTTCACTTACCAGAATTAGTTGATATAGAATTCCAAAAAAATTAACAACGTAGCTCAAAATTTGTATAAATTGAAAGATTCACTCAACGGATTTGCTCCAACTAAGGACCGTCGTCTGTGACGAACAGAGGCAAGACTCCGATACTCGACAAGTGTCACTAACTAGCGACGTTTCGGCAAAGTAAGCACTGTCCGATAATGGACGCTGTACGACCTTCCCCTACGGCATTTCTGTGATGATTTTTTTTATATATATATTTCCCAAGTAATTTACTTCGTTTAAACAAGTTCTGCAAGGCAGATAAATTATTTCGAATAGATTCTATAAAATGACTTTCAATTCCACACATTTATGTATAAGTCGTGATTTCAACACAGAGACAATTATTTTTCTTTAAAATATATAGTGGGTCAGGATTAATTGGATTAACCACGGTTTAATATAATAAATATTTTTTGCGTCAGGGCGTTTAAAAGTACGTTTGTATCCGGTTTCAGTGTCTGGTTAAAAATTACATCTCATAATTTCGAATAGATCAACAGTAGGCCCGATAAAATGAATATATTCCGTGGCCCACCTGATTCAACGATCAGTGGTTCGTCATTTTGGTTTCGTATTATTTTCACTATAAACGGGGTTTATTTCTTTAAACAGCGTTAACCAGTTTATCTATGCAATGGTGAAGTGAAGTGTTTTCTTTGCGGTAAGGACTGAATACGTAATATTTAGACGAGCTTTGACTTCAAAGGGTTAACCAGTTGATCTTTGTAATGGTGAAGTGAAGTGTTTTCTTTGCGGTAAGGACTGAATACGTAATATTTAGACGAGCTTTGACTTCAAAGGGTTAACCAGTTGATCTTTGTAATGGTGAAGTGAAGTGTTTTCTTTGCGGTAAGGACTGAATACGTAATATTTAGACGAGCTTTGACTTCAAAGGGTTAACCAGTTGATCTTTGTAATGGTGAAGTGAAGTGTTTTCTTTGCGGTAAGGACTGAATACGTAATATTTAGACGAGCTTTGACTTCAAAGGGTTAACCAGTTGATCTTTGTAATGGTGAAGTGAAGTGTTTTCTTTGCGGTAAGGACTGAATACGTAATATTTAGACGAGCTTTGACTTCAAAGGGTTAACCAGTTGATCTTTGTAATGGTGAAGTGAAGTGTTTTCTTTGCGGTAAGGACTGAATACGTAATATTTAGACGAGCTTTGACTTCAAAGGGTTAACCAGTTGATCTTTGTAATGGTGAAGTGAAGTGTTTTCTTTGCGGTAAGGACTGAATACGTAATATTTAGACGAGCTTTGACTTCAAAGGGTTAACCAGTTGATCTTTGTAATGGTGAAGTGAAGTGTTTTCTTTGCGGTAAGGACTGAATACGTAATATTTAGACGAGCTTTGACTTCAAAGGGTTAACCAGTTGATCTTTGTAATGGTGAAGTGAAGTGTTTTCTTTGCGGTAAGGACTGAATACGTAATATTTAGACGAGCTTCGGCTTCGAAGTGAAAATTGTGTCGTTTTTCTATTCGAATTTTTCAACAAACGCATTATAAAAGTTTTGTCCGTCCGGACTGAGGACTCTTTTGATTTCGCGCATCACCTGTGAAGTTTGCTGTAAAGTGATGGATGGGCTTGGCAAATGATATCATCAGGTGTCATGACGGAAACACAGAAACAGTTTTTATCTCTTCCGAGAAATTGCCCTGAATCTTATCTAAATATTAACTTGTTTATCTACAGTGCGCTCTGCAGAGGAGGGCTGGTGCTGTAATCTTGTGACTCAAGATTGCAGTCGTGGACTGTAGGTGTGTTTGCAAAAATTATAGTATTTTTTAGGGTGTATGTAGACAGGCAAGTGACATTACACGTAAAACGCCGTGTATGGAGGCTGTTTCATTCGGACTAACATGGCGTTAGACGCGCTCGGAAGGTGTTTTACCCCGCTTTGGTATGTTTGGACGCGAATATAATATCGACAGGTTTGTTTGTTCCTTCCATACATCTCTTGAACAAAGTATGGCGTGCCAGAAGAGATAACACGTGCTATGAATTCTGTAGGTGTCAATTCGAACCTTGTCCAATGTTTTCGCTCAAACGTGGAAGTTGCCTTTGTACTGAGTGGGGACGTGATGGCTGCCTACGTGAATGTAGGCCCCCGGGTTCGAATCCTTGCTGCCCCTAAAACAAGACAACTGTCGGACCAGAGACCTTCCAGTATATTCTCCGGGTCACAGTTTGGAAAAGTTCCTAGCATTAGACGTTACTTAGGGTGGCCACAGACGCTCCGGCTTACGTCTCTGAATTTGGCCGGAAACCGAACCTCCGATAAATCTGATTCATTTTTTACCTCGAGGTTTACTGGATGTTTACAAGTCGTAACGAGTGTGGGCAGAGACGAGGGTAAAGACAGGGCTTGTAGCATTTAGTCATCTCAAGCAGCCACCGAGAATTTCAAATCCTCGTAGTTTAACAGCTCCCAATATGCGTCCTCACCCATTCGCAGTTATTTATGCCAGTCCGTCGGCTCTAATCGAATTTCGTCCAACAAATTTACGTGAGAATGTTTTGATCCATCTAACCAACTTCTGGCCCACTTAGAACGTTTCAACTGAGCACAAAGTCCGTACGTCAGAGGTTTGAGGCTTGCCTTCCGCCTTCAACTTGGAAGGCAGGCCTTCCTTCCGGCAAGCCGTGGCGTGTGTGGCCACCCTTAAGAGGGGCATCCCGTGCAGTTGACTGCAGGCTATGTATAATAGGCCTTCTGAAATAAGTTTAATCGCACTTAACTTTTGTTAATCGTGCTGCTATGGGAAATGTTCTGTGAATTTCCGGTTATAGTTATCACGCGAAATTCATAATTGTAAACTGATACTTCTGACGAATGTAGTTGCAGTAAGAGTATGAAATTAGAGTCACAGAGCTAGTGTTTAAAGTTATTCTGTGCGTAAATTGTTTGAATTTTTGCATTCTTTGTTTATTTGTTTAGTAATTTATCATTTATTCCATTATTTATTTTTAATTCATTTAGGTGGTCATTATTTTATTTATTTATAACGTAGATAGTTGATAATACAGCGTATTGGTTGAAACATCAACCCTGTTTGTAGGTAAATAACCTTAGAATATTATATTTGCGACGTGTCTAACCTTCAGACATTTTTTCGTGGACGATTGTTGCAAAAGCAGATTTTGTATTTTAGGTTAGGTTTTCCTGAATTATTTTGTCGTTCGTTGTTGGACATTTCTCGGGTTCGTCGCTAAATAACGCATTCAGTTGAGATGACGTCAGTTTTTATCTAAGAATAAGTCGTTACAAGATGAAAAATTGTTTTCGACGGTTGTTAAATCCGAGATTTTTATGTACAATTTGAGCAATTCAATAATATTCTAAAATTCATATTGTCTTTTGCCTCAACACGACATTTTGAAATTACATTTTCATAATGCAAATAAAACACACCTAAAAGCTTTGTTTGGCCTGCACCAAGGATTCTGTTTAAAGTCTTGATTTTCGATGAGAAAATGAAATGCATGAACATCTTTGACAATCCAATTTACGTCGTGTTTAATCTATTTTACAAATGCGTTAATATTTTAATATTTTCCGTCAAATCACAATTTTTAATAAGATAATAAAATATAAAAATATTTAAAATATCATTTCACGTTCCGCATCGAATGATCGATTTACAAATTGGAACGTAAATCGATCATTCGATGCGGAACGTGAAATTATATTTTAAATATTTTTATATTTTATTATCTTATTAAAAATTGTGATTTGACGGAAAATATTAAAATATTAACCTAATTCACAATATGACTCAAATATACTACCTTATT